CTCCCAAAGTGCTGGGTTTCTAGGCGTGAACCATGACGCCTGGCCTATTTTATAGTATTCTTTTTTTTTTTTTTTTGAGTCAGAGTCTCACTCTTGTCTAGGCTGGAGTGCAATGGCATGCTCACGGCCACCACAGTCTACCAAAGAGTAACTGGGACTATAGACACATACCACCACGCCTGGCTAATTTTTTGATTTATTGTAGAGAAGAGGTCTCACCAAGTTGCCCAGGCTGGTCTTGAAGCCATGGACTCAGTATTCTTTTTCTTTTTTTTTGAGTTGTAGTGTCACTCTTGTCACCCAGGCTGGAGTGTGGTGGCATACTCATGGTCACCATAGCCTCCACCTGCTGGGCTTGGTGAGACCTTGTCTCTACAATAAATTAAAAATAGCAGGGTGTGGTAGTGTGTGCCTGTAGTTCCAGCTACTTGGACGGCTGAGGCAGAAAGATCACCTGAGCCTAGCAGGTCAAGGTTGCAGTGGCCATGAGGGCCATGAGTGTGCCACTGCACTCCAGCCTGGGCGACAGAGTGAGACTACAATTCAAGAAGAAAAAAAAGCTCCACCCCTTTTGAAAAGAAACCATTCAAACCATAGAACGAGCAAAAGTGGTGTTAACAATCTCCAGATCTTGTTTTTATGAGGAAATTGCTTTTTCTCTACTTTCTCTTTTTCCTATTCTTCCAGGCTATAAAGTGGACGGATACACACCAGCTTTGATAATGAGAATAAAGATTTCACCCTATGATAAAAATGGCTTAGGTAGAACCTGTTCCCCGAATGATCTCATGCATCAGATCTGCCCACTCATCCTAGACCACCTGTCTACCTCTGGACTGTTATGTGAGACAAAAATAAACTTTAATCTTTTTTGAGTTATTGTATTTGGGGATCTCTTTGGCATAGTAGCTTAATCTGTGCCCTACGACCATAGGTGACCTCTCAGAAGAGATGACATTTAAGTTAAGACGTACATGACAAGCATGAGTAAGCCATGCAAGGAGGAAGAGAAAAAGAACTGCTGGCTTAGTCATTTACCTCAGCTTCTATATGCTTAGACATCCAAGTAGTCGGGTAAGCAAGTGTCCAAAAGGTATGAAATTTAAGGGAGATATCTGGACTGAAGATGTAAATTTGGAAGCCATTAGTGTATGGATGAACTATAAAGCCATGTACTGGATGAGGTAGGTCACCTAGGGAAAAAATGTACATAAAAATGAGGGCGAAGGTGGGCGTGGTGGCTCTCTGTAATCTCAGCATTTTGGGAGGCAGAGGCAGGAAGATCATCTGAGCTAAGGCAATTTGAGAACAACCTGGGCAACATGGCAAGTCTTTGTCTCTACAAAAAAAAAAAAAAAATTAGCCAGGCATAGTAGCGTGTGCCTGTAGTTCCAGCTGCTCAGGAGGTTGAGGCAGAAAGATCGCCTGAGCCCCGCAGGTCGAAACTGCGGTGGCCATGAACATGCCACTGCACTCCAGCCTGGGTGACAGAGTGAGATTCTGACTCAGAAACAAAAGAAAGAAATGAAAAGAGGGCAGAGGAGAAGCCAAGAGCACTGTAGCATTGGGAAGAAAATCCAGATGTAGAAGAAAACCAAAAAAGAAAATGTTACAAAAGCCTGAAGAATTGTTTCAAGAAGAAAGGTTTAGTTAATTGTGTCACAAGCTGTTGAAAGACCAAGCCAAATGAGGATGAAACCATCCATTGAACCACTGACTTTGGCAAGAAGTCTCAGTTAGGTGCTGTAGATAAATACATTTGGAGGGTTTGCAGATGAAGAGGCAGAAACCACAAGATGGACATGTTCTTATAACTTTTTTTTTTTTGAGTTGGAGTCTCACTCTGTCACCCAGGATGGAGTGCAGTGGCATGTTCACGGCCACCGCAGCCTCAACCTGCTGGGCTCCGGCGACCCTTCCGCCTCAGTCATTCAGGTAGCTGGAACTACAGGTGTACACTACCACGCCTGGCTAAACTTTAAGTCTTTTATGTGCAAAGTATTATGTCCAATAAGCACTTTTATTATTATTATTATTATTGAATAGAAGTCTTTGTTGTCCAGGCTGGAGTGCAGTGGCACACTCACGGCCACCACAGCCTTGACCTGCTGGGCTCAGGCGAAACTTTCGCCTCAGCCTTAAAAGTAGCTGGAACCACAGGTGCACACCACCACAACTGGCTAATTTTTAAAAAATTTATTGTAGAGGCGAGGTCTCGCCAAGTTGCTCAGGCTGGCCTCGAACCTCTGAACTCAGGCAATCCTCTCACCTCCACCTCCCAAAGTGCTGGGATTACAGGTGTGAGCCACTGTGCCCGGCTAATAAGCAATTTTTAAAGAACTGGGAAAAGATGGTCACTCTTGTAGAAATGGGGCTGATGAGAATGGAAACCAGGTTAGGAATCATGGTAAATATATTTTGGACATGTTGAGTTTGGGGAGCTATTTAAGCAAATGTTAACTGAGCAACTTAGTTATCAGTATAAGGAATTCTGAGTTTTTTGTTTTTTTGGTTTTTTTGAGTTGGAGTCTCACTCTGTCGCCCAGACTGGAGTGCAGTGGCCGCTCCCGGCCACGGCAGCCTCCACCTGCTGGGCTCTGGCGATCCTTCCGCCTCAGCCTTCCGAATAGCTGGAATTACCGGCATGTGCTACCACGCCCAGCTGATTTTTTAATTTACTGTAGAGATGAGGTCTCGCTGCCCAGGAGGGTCTCGAACCCGCGGGCTCAGGCAATCCACTCACCTCAGCCTCCCAAAGGCGCGGGATTACAGGCTGAGCCACCGAGCCCAGCAGGGATTCTGAGTTTTAAGATAAGAATAATGCTTAAGAAAAACGATATACTGGCCAGTGCAGTGGCTGAGGCGGGAGGATTCTTTAAACCAGGAGTTCGAGACCAGCCTGGGCAACATAGGGATCTCTCCCCTCCCCCATCTCTACAAAAAATAAAAAAATAATAGCTGGGCATAGAGCTGTACACCATTAGTTCCAGCTACTAGGGAGGCTGAGGAGGGAGGATTGCTTAAGTCCGGGAGTTAGAAGTGCAGTGAGCTATTATTGCAGCACTGTACTCCAGCCTGGATGGCAGAGCAAGACCTTGTTTCCATTAAAAAAAAGAAAAAAGTAAAAAGAAAACTAATGTATTTTACAAAGGCCAGTCCAATTGGCAGACACTATTTAAATTATTCTATATTAAAGCAACGAGGATTTACTTTGCCAAGATTCTTGGCACTTTTATGTTAACTTAAATTGCATTGGGAAGAAGCATAATAGTAATGGAGAAGCGACTAATTGTAAGCAATTATAAGCCAAATTATGTTTATACCACAATTAGTGTTTGAGGTGGTTTAGGAGGCAGATTCTTCAATAAGCAGCCATCAAATAATTGAATAGCTTGTAAAACACAGAAATACTTTTATCTTAATTCCAAGTACAACCACATTCTCTTTTAATTATCATTATAATAAAATAAGCAACATTTATTATCTTTTGTCCCAATCCCCAGTTTGAGTTGGATGCAAAACACGGGAAGTGTAGTATACAACACAGCTTCTTTCATCAGGTTTCTCAGAACGTGTAAATCCAAGTTCTTGTAAGACAAGTATTACTCTGAAGGGTATCCAGAGTACAAACTCAAGCCATGTCTTTTTCCGAGGATTTTTCATGCCAATATTATCTTATTTCACTTTGAGGAAAGGTTTTCTCTGAAGATGATATGGAAAAGGCTTTGTGTGTGGTGACAGTGGAAATTTTTGTCCCGTTGGTGTTTTTCTATGTTTCCAAATAAAACCCATAACTTCCTTACCACAATCTTGCCACCCGAAGTTAAACTGTTTGATCACAACTTGACACCTGTTTTATACTTTACGCTCATTAGTGAAATATTAAATCGGTGGTTCTTCAAAGCACCTCTAGCAATTGCTCTGGAATTTCTGTTACAGTAGTTTTTAGGTAAATCCTTCTCGCGCCCATCAGCTTGGTACGTTTCGAGGGTAAGAGTGGACCCCTTTTAATTAGTTCGTCGGTGTCATAAAATTAGAAGGCGGTATTTACCACATCTAGTTTCTAGGGAGGCTTTGGCAGAATAAATTCCCACCAGTTGACCTCATGGAGCAACAGCGTTGCCGGAGCTTCCCGGGGTGGCCGCGCAGCCAACTCCGAGGCACCGCGAGCCTCGCGGGGGAGGCGGGCGGCGCAGGAGCCCGCCGCGGCCGGGCGCCACGTTGTTTTTCCCTTTGAGACAGGGAGACAATGCTTCTGGCTATTGTACACATGGGCCGCGAGCTGCCTTCATTCGCGCACCAGCCAAGGCGGGGCAGAGCCCCA